CCCCAAAACCCCAAAACCCCAAAACCCCAAAACCCCAAAACCCCTTAAGGGATTTTATAGGTTGAAATATTGGTTTTGTTAGGAATTTTGATCAAAGTGTCTTTGGGGAGGTAAGGAGAGCTTACTTATCTGGTTTAAAGATATGAGAAGGCTTTATAACTGGGTCTAGAGTATTTCTGTATGTTGTGTGATAATTTCTAGATTTTAATACAGGTCTCTCAGGGATATTCTGGAAGGTAACATTCATGTTCAGTGGGGTGTTTTGGAATCTATGAAATAACAAACAGGTAACTTACGACTCGTAGTCAGTAGATATAGGAATTGTAGGGAAATCATCAATTTTTATAAGATTTTTAGGGCCTATTTGAGATGAATTCTCTATTCGTATGTCTTGACTATTCCTGAATCCTTGGGTTTTTAAACGTGAAGTATTTTGCGAAGCCAGATTTCTACTTAGAGCCTGTGTATACCTTCTCTGATTTGGTTTACTTAAATTGCTGACTGTTTGATACATCTCGCTCAGTGCAGAATGCTTTAAGCCTAACTTGGATTTCAAGTTTCTCAATTTGCTGTTAACTTTTCTTTCAGTTTTTCTGTTCATCATTGAAGTTCTCAAAGGATTGTTTTGAAAGTAAGTCATCATTTTCTTCCTTCTAATACAAAAATGAGCTACAAGTTGTTACAGTTGGCGAGATCTATTCCCTGAATCTGCTTTTATATTTTAGAGACACACCTCATTTCAGGAGTGAGGTTAAGATATTTTTTAAACATATTTTTCTCTCTGGATTCGCTAATATTAAGCAAAAGTGTATACTTTGAGAGTTTTCTGTTTCTCTGCCTCTCCATCTTTTTCTTAATTTTAAATCTTTCTTCGATACGTTTAGTTCTAATTCTGGCTGTTTCAGCTTGGCTTAGTGCAAATAGGTATTAAAGGCTATTAACACGTTAAAAATTAGTAGAATACACGGAGACTTACATGAATTCTTGCTATTGCTGAACCCACTTGGACTCTTATGTTCAACGCTATTGGCAAGATGACGTTTCTTCTATAATTCATTTTAATCTTGGACAATTTACTCTGGCTAATCCTTTCAGGGAAAACAGGACTTTGCTAGTTTTCCTTCTGGCTTTATACTTATTTCTTGATTAAATATTTTCCACTTTTACTATCTCTGGCCACATCTTGAATATACGAAAGAGAGCAGTCATGGCCTATTGAAACAGATGAGGAAGTCAAATTCTGAGGATGTTGTTATCCAATAATGGCTTACCTTCTGCCTGAAAGATCTTCTTGTCTAGCTCGGCGATCATTAATTTACCTGGATTACTGATATACTCCATTATGAATATTTTTCAATTTCTAAAATTTTAAAGGGGTTTTGGGGTTTTGGGGTTTTGGGGTTTTGGGGTTTTGGGG